TTTACGTTAGGATTGGAAACAGAGCAGATATGTATATTTCGAGAATCGGGAAACTCTTGTGTTCAAAAGCAATAGTCGGGATTTGCTTGATCGTGAGATCCGACAAATTGGTCTAAAGCACGTCATATTTAATGATGGCTTCACAGAAGGGACGCAGATTGGAATCCTGTAGGAGGGAGCATATTTTTGTCACAAGATTTAAAAAAATATTTAGACCAGAAGATATAAATAAATAAAAAACAGAGAAACTATTGAAATATGAGTATACTTTTAAACAAATAAATTAGAAAAAAAAAAATTTATGTGTATATATATATATATATATATATATATATATATATATATATATATATATATAGTGGTAAATATATATACATATGCAAAATATATAAATACCCATATATGTATATTTTTTTAATAAAATTTTCAAGAGGATAGAATCCAGGTAGAACTCAATGTCCAGGACAGAGTAAGGATATAATAAAAAGGCTTAAACACTAATATTCCATGGTCATAATTTATTCCATTGGAATCGTAAATACGATCCAATTCAACAGACCTACAAATTCAAAAAGAAAACGTAAAAAACAACTCCGGAAATAAAAACAGAATTTAGAGAGAGTGTAATCATGAGGGGTAACATACTAGAGAAGGAGGGAGATTAAACCTTAAAAGAGAGAATTTTAGGAGAGGTGAGTGGAAGGGGTTTAAGTAAGAGAAATATGAATGTTGTCGGATGTCTAATGCATAAAGATACATTTCGAGGTAACATACACACACCATAGACGATCTAATGTTGAAGATCAGAATAAGAGGGAGGGAAATACGAGGTGGGGGAGAGAGATGGGGCGGAGGAAAGTAAAATTGAACGACATTTACTGAATGGGCCGCTGTGCAATTGAGAAAATTTGACAAATTTAATATCGACTACAGGTTACAAATCAAATATAAACATAAAAAGTATAAAAAATAAATATAACGATTATCTAATCTAGCAAGGACCTATATTTCTATGTTCAAACACACATTCGAATATAAACATACACAATAACATATACACGTATATACATACACATAGGCGTGTACCCACATACACACATACATATACCCATGTACACACATATATAAATATATCCACAGAAAAGTGTATTTTAGATTTGGAAGATTTTTCTGATAAAGTGAATTACATTGTGAGGAAAGACATAAAAATCAGTTCTTTTAGCTATAAAAACACAAAAGTCCTCCTTCCTGTCAATTTAAGTTAATTTTAAATTAGTTTTTGAAATACAACAAAGTATTTGTTTTATCAGAAATATTGAATGTTATTTATTAACTTCAAATTAAACTAAAATAAATCTTCAAGAAAGATTTTCATTTTTTAAAATTCATTTTAAGCCTTAACTATCCTTTTCGTTTTTTTTTTTTTTTTTTTTTTGTGGAGGTACTTATATTTATTTAGATAAATTTTACTTGGCATAAATCCAAAATCATCAGCCAAATTATGACCATAAACACTCACAAGGCAACTTGTGTTAATCCCCACTTTTCAGCCGGTGCCATTTCATAATTCATAATGTTTCATATGTAACTTTTATCATGTATATATAATTTATATTTACATAATATAAATTAGAATTAGAATTTATAACATAGGTATATAATTTATAATTAATAAAGAGTAATATGTGGGTGTATGTGCATGCTACACATATACATATGTGTTATATCTATTTATATAAGCAAATTACATATAATTTTAACGAATATATGTATGTGTGAGTGGGTGGGGGATCTAATCAATAAGCCGTCTCACACTATTATTTGCTGATTTTTTTAAATAAATACGAGGGTGGGGGCAAAAGTAACCGGAATTGTGTCAGAAATTTATTTATTGTTGCATATTTCTATTCTTATCACCTTCAAAGTATTCTCTATTTGAAGCAATGCATCGGCCCAGACGTATTTTCCACTGTTCAAAGAAGTCCTAGAAGGACTCTTGTGAAGTTATGTTTTTTTAATGACTCCGTCGTTTTCTACTTAACCTCTTCTACATCTGCAAAAGGTTTTCCTTTGAGGACTTTCTTCATTCGGGGGGAACAAAAAAAGTCGCAGGGGGGGGGGATCGGGTGAATAGGGAGGGTGGGGAAGTGGGGGTCATGCCATTCTTGGTCAGAAACTGTCTCACATTCAAGGCGGTGTGCGCTGGCGCATTGTCATGATGCAACCGCCACCCTCTATCCTTGTCTCGCAAATGCTTCAGGACTTCCAAGTAAAAAGCCTGGTTAACAGTTTGACCAGGAGGAACAAATTCTTTGTGGAGAATTCCTTTCACATCAAAGAACCAAATCAGCATCATCTTGACATTGGACTTCATTTGACGCGCTTTTGGGGGTCGTGGTGACGTTGGCTGCTTCTACTGACTTGATTGCTGCTTCGTTTCCGGGTCGTAACCATAACACCAGCTTTCGTCACCAGTGATGACCTTCGAAAAAAAGGTCTGGATCAACTTCCAACTGTTCTTTCAGTTTACGACAGGCATCCATTCGTGACTGCTTTTGATCGTCCGTGAGCAAGCGAGGCACCATTTCCGCTACAACACTTTTCATTCTCAATTCCTCAGTCAAAATTCGTTGACATGAACTCCAGGACACACCAGTCAAATCAACAAGTTCGTTAATTGTTTGGCGACGATCTTCCAAGATCATTTCATGATGCTTTCAACTATTCAGGAGGTTGAATGTCGCCCTGAATGAGGCTGATCTTCCAGCGACAATTGACCATTCCTAAAGAGTGCAAACCACTCATAAACTTGTGTTTTACTCGTGGTAGCATCCTTGTAAGCTGTTTTAAGCATGACAACTGTTTCGGCTGCTGTTTTCCCCAGCCAAAAAAACAGAATTTCACAGCAGCACGCTGCTCCTTCCTTTCAGACATGGTAAAAATAAACAAAAAGGCTTGAAGCACTTCAAAACAAATGTGAACCACGGAGCTGTACGTCTTCCCACGATAACACCAGTTAACACACTGATGCCTGAGGGTTGTCTTAAGTGACATCTAGCGGTGGAAGCCTGAACTACTACGGGTTTATCAAACAGAAAACGATTCTGATTACTTTTGAGTTCCCCTCGTATTCTCTGGAAAATTGTCGGGGTCACAATGATCTCTTGAAGAGCAAAGTCTACTGATATCAAAGGTGATTCTTCTAAAAAGTAAATATTCGTAATGTAAAATAAATAGAAGATGTAAGCCATTGAATGACCCATGTCCTTTGTACTTACATGAGAAACAATATATTACTAGGTTTATATAAAAAATAAAAGTTTACTAAATCAGTGAAATTAATTAGCTATTTTTGCCGTCATTGTCATAAATTTTACTTAAATAATATTTAAATATAAAAAAAATTGTGACCTCGTAATATACATACTTATACTTGATGTGAAAATAATTCTACATACTGTAAGGGATTCTAATACATTTACTTGTTCTTAAAAGAAATATAGTATATTAAAAATTAAAAGTGAAAATATTTTTCAAATCGTAGTTAAATAAAACATATTCTAACCTAAACACCCCCCCCCCAAAATCTTTAAATATACAAATAGAAAAAATGCCGTAAGAAATTTTGCCGTTAACAATGAAATTTTAAAAAATCCAGACGACATGCATTTAACGGATATTAGATTTCATTGAAAAATCCATCCCTACCCCTACCAAAACTTAACTAATAACTGATACATCAAAATACAGCGATAATGAACGCGCAAACACCCCTTGTCTGGTTGAATTGGATTTCTCTGTATCCTTGGAAACGTGAATTATGATTTTTGCTGTGTCTTTAAAACCTAGTAATTTTAAAAGTTACTCCAAAACTCACTTGAGGATGAAATGGAACTAATGTCTTTAATTTAATTACAAAATTAAATTCGGAGCTTTCGGCTTCCATTTTTGAAACATAATTAGAACTGTGTAGCGAAAAAAAACATATTTTAAATCAATTAATATATATATGTGTGTGTGTGTCTGTGTCAAATATATATATATATATATATATGTCATATATATTTGACACACACACACACACATAAATATATATATAAAAGTATACATGAATTTCACGTTGTCTTCTGTGTATTTTTCATTCGTCGGTCAGGTTTTCCGGTAACACGTATTCTTATAAACAAACACCCATTTCTGTACTATGACTGCCCACCCTTAATGTGATCCTTCCGTATATTAGTGTATGTACATGAACTGGCCAATTCATAGTAGCGCTTGGGTGGGAAATTGCCATATACCGCAACAACAAAATGTCTGAGAATACAAAGGAGCCATGTTGTACAAAGATCAATATCTTTCGTGCCTTTTTTGTGAGCATCGATTTATCGATCTGCTCATTTGTACGCTTATGAAGTCGACCCTACCACATACCCAACTCTGTTTTTTATGTGCTTCGTCCATTTTCATCCTTCAATTCACTTTCATTTAACTGAAAAAAGAAATCCAGTCTCATTTTCCCAGCTAATAAGCAAGCGTCATTTTCGTGCTGGCGGAATTGGTTGGCCGGAACTTGCAAGGCAAACCCTTCTGCGTCACCTGCTTTTCAAGCGTTAGGTTATTAAAAACGACAGAAGATGAACACGACTTTTTGTCGTTTTAAAATCATTAAACTCAAATAAAAATGTGTGCTACTCATATTGATAATATTCATATATTGAGAGCTGATCGTCGAACCGACATATTGCTTTTTGTCGTGTTTATGACCTATAATTCATAAATGAATGCACATTCACTTACAGGAACATATGCATATACATGTATCTGCCACCTTCAGCTTATCTCTAAATATAATTATACGTGAATATATATGTGTGGACATAGCTATTCAAAGAATCGATGGATGCAAACAGAATGCACGAAATTGTCACACAAATAGTAACTTGCATAGATATATAAATATAATTAGATAGAAAGATAGGTAGATATGAGTAGCTTAAAACAGAGATAGATAGATAGATAGATAGATAGATAGATAGATAGATAGATAGATAGATAGATATGAACAGATTAAAACCGATATAGGTAGATATGTAGATAGATAGATATGAGCAGCTTAAAACTGAGATAGATAGATAGATAGATAGATAGATAGATAGATAGATAGATAGATAAATAAATAGATAAAAATAAGTTAAGATAACTGAAGAGTCATCATTATTGGAAAATCGATGCCTTTAATTCTAATGTTAATAGCAATTGCTTCTAGAAACTTGATGCAGCAGTTTTGTTTTTGCAAAATATGAAGTTCTCATGCCACTGTTCTTTGCCAAGGAAACAAGTACTTTGTTCGTTATTTGAAATCAATCTTTGTTTAACATTCCCGAATTAGATCATCATCTCTCGCTAGTATCCTAATAAGTTTAGAAATTATCTCGAGAAACAATAAAGAACCTCAACTGCGCCGCACTTTTCGAACCGTTGATTCTGTCATCGCCAGTTCATTAAACTAGCAAAACTTGTTGTGCTTGGAAAGGGGGTCTAATATTCGATGTCTCCGGCAGAAACTGACCAAGTCCAGGGAAATAGTTCAGTGTATTTGATTTATTCTCGTTGTACGTGTTATGAATAAATTCAGGAGAATAATATCTTTTGCTGTTTGCCTATATTGAGACACACTTTGTGAATTCATATGTTTATTAAATCAATGCGTTAATGCGTGTCAAATTGTCGCTTTGTACTTTTCAAAGAAAAAAAAGAAGCGGAATCCTAGCGATACAGAGATTATAGCAATGAAATACAGACTGCAGAATCTCTCCATAAATAAGAGTGAATTGCAAAAAAAAAATGGTGGTGTTCCGTTTAGTGGCCTGTTTGCTGCCAGCATGAGGCAGATTAAATGTTTCTTTTCTTTGCCATTTCCCTAAAAATATAAAGAGACAAAAAAAAAAAAAAAAGCAATGGAAGACTATCAAATAGGAACTGAAAGAGAAATTCAATGAATGATGAATTTTAGGAACAGGGTACTTTATTAGAAAATTTGACCTCAGGTTAAAAAATCATTAACCGTCACTGAAATGAAAAATGCCAAAATGCGCATTATCCTACAAAGATATTTTTTATTATTCTCAAGCCGTTTTGTTTGCAGCTTTACGAGCAAAAATACAATAATATATTAGGAATGATGGAGATTTTGAAAGGGAAACATTTTATGATTTTCCATCTGATGAAAAAGGGTAACCAATTCAGAAAAAAAATGAAACTAGCCTTGTTTTGCGACCGCCTTCATATCAAAAACAGAATGCAATGAACACTTTTTCTCAGCAAAATAGCAAAAGAAAATATGATTGTTTACAGATAAAGATGTTCAAGAATCTACAATGGAAAAATATTGGTGTTTTTATTATATTTCTATTTCTATATAAATGGAAGGAAATGATGAATCATATTAAAGGAAGCGATTTCAAATATTAATCTCGACAGCTTCTTATTTATTTATTAAATAATCTAAGTAAACCACAAGACAATGGCGCAAAAGACGATGACGATACCTAAAATTTCCAAAGAAACAAGACAGAGTTGCTTGTCACAAACAACAATAGTCATCACAAATCATAACACACACACACATACACACACATAAATATATATATATATATATATATATATATATATATATATATATATATATATATATATATATATATATATATATATATGTGTGTGTGTGTGTGTGTGTGTACATATAGATGTTTCTTTAAGACGACAAACCAGGTACTACGATTAAGCTTTTTATTTAATTTTTCTTGTATTCGGAAAGTGTTTTATTTCCACAGCTCTGTTAGAATCCATTTAAATACAGAGACAAAGTTACCGGTCACAATGTGCTGTGTTCGTAAAATAAAACATTCCTATAACTCTAAAACATACACAAAACCCATACACAAAATTAAAAAGCAAAAAATAAACTGATCCTTGATAATGGCTAAAAGTATAGCCAAAAGCAAACAAATACAGAACATTTTGACAGTTTGTATACACCCTGTGTAAAAAAGAAACACTTGTTCGAACATAAGAAAAATTAAATGAAAAGCTTAACCGTAGTACCTTATCTGTCGACTTTAATGAAACATGTATAAATGAAGGTTTACTGCACACACACACACACACACACACACACACATATATATATATATATATATATATATATATATATATATATATATATAAAGAAAATGTTAAGAATTAATAAACAATAGTTACTTTTCCAGAATTCTTTTAAATTTAAGCACGCTCATATTATTCGGGTTTAATATAAAAGTCAAGGTAAACTATGGAAGATGCTAAGTGATGCAATATAAGCCAAATAAACGAAATTTGGTAAATGTTATTTTTGTTGTTGGTTTTTTATTTTCTTTTTGTTTGTATATTTTTATTTATTTATTTACTTTTTATATATTTTCCTCCATAGTTTACCTTGACTGGAAAGGAATTTCATCTTATCATCAAGAAACTGATTAGACAACTAGAAAGAATCACTATAAAAATAATTGATACAATATGTCTATATTTTTTCAATGAAATATAACTAAATACAGTTTTCAATGGATACATTGTCGTATAAATGACGCAAAAAGGAAAATAGGATAGACCCCTAATTTTAACAGCTATATTTGCTAAAATTACCGAAAAATATATGGAAATACTAAATAATAAATTTGTTCAATAAAATTGGCATTGGTTTGAACCACAGACTGCAGACGACTTCGGAATCTCCTGCAACTCTTCTGGACGGTCTCCTTGTTTAAGTTGTTGAATGCTACCATAATCCTTGCCTTAAGTTCATATTTGGTGTTATAAGGAGTTTTGTTGGTCTCACATAATGATCAAGGAGTTTTTAGTGTGGGGAGTTAGGTGACCAAATGTAAGTGTTGATGAGGTTGCAGAAATTGTCGACCAGCCAAAACTGGGTTCTCCTGCTTGTGTTGCATAATGCAGAGTTCTGTTGTCAGACATAGGGTCTTCTAGCAGCCACCCTCTTGACCCAGGTCAGCACTACATTCTCAAGGCTCCTGATGTAGGCCTCGGTGTTAAGTCTGAGGCCCAGCGGGAAGATGAATGGCGACATAACTTTACCATCTCGAGGGATTGCCCCAAACACGATGAAGTGGGGAATGGGTGAGAACTTTCAAAATAAAAGAATTCAACATGTAGAGGATTTTACATATTTATATAAAGAACATAGCCCAGAAAAGAATGGGAAAAATATATTTATGTGTATATAGATAGCCCTAGCTCAAAAAAGGAAAGACAAATACTTCTGCAATTAACTGTTTTGTGTGTACCATGTGGTTTGAATGCATTTAAGTAGTCTGCTTGGCATTCAGCTAAGTTTACCCGTAAGAGACAACACTTCCACACCCTGGAGGTAAAAAGAGTGAAAGAGAGGAAGAGTGTTTGTTCCTTTCCTTTTTTTACTGCTTATCTCTACATCACATTGCAGAAAAAGTTAGGTAATGCCATGCTTACATTTTTTGTATTCACCTCATTCAGAAATCTCTAAACTATCATTGGTGTATAGCCGTTTTCGCAGATGATGTTCACTGGATATCCAAGTATTTCCGAATCCTCTGCGCGGTTATCAGATTGACACCCAAACATCCTGAAATGTTCGTATTGGAGTTTTCGGCGCGAATATCAAGCATTGCAGCATGCCGTTCCAAATTTCTGGCGAGTGAATTGCTTTATGTTGCTCTTTCGCTCAGAAGCGGTACCCAACAGTTCCTACCATATTGTGGAGACACAATAGACACGCATGCGCAAAATTGAAAATTAAATATGGTTACAATTTATCCATCGCATGTGTGTGTGTGTGTGTGTGTGTGTGTGTGTGTGTGTGTGTGTGTGTGTGTGTGTGTGTGTGTTGGTATTTTGTAAGGCAGAATGTGTCCAGTCATGACTAAGCAGCTTTATAGAAAGAATTTGATGTTTAATCCAATTTGGGGAAGAGTGTTGGACCGAGAACTTTTCCTCACCAATTGGTTTTTGTCTTTTTGTGTGTCGCTTGTTACACAGAATGGCTTATGTTTATTTCTATCCAGTTCTGATCTTAATTTAATGAATGAAATTTGATCAATATTAATTATTATTGCATTTTAGTATTTCAGATTTGAGCAATATAGTAAATGGATAAATGTATTTCCCATGATTCGCTCTCTATTTCAGTCTATATAAAATTTCAGCCATATTAAACTGTCGACGAAGATTGTGACGAGTCTAGTAAGTTAAACCCACAACACTAAAAAGACAATCATTGGCACAAGCTTGCTACTGTGGAAGCCTTACATATTTGTCGTACTTAATAGATAGATAGTAATCCAGAAGGAATATATTTGTCCAGAATTTATTGCCATATTGCTGAAGCTTAGCATTCTAAAACTTATAATTTGTTTTTCGTGCCCACATAAAAATTAGGATTTTGTATAAAGATTTTTAAAGCTAAAAACTTTTTACCAGTTAGAAATTTGTCGCAATAACAGATACATGTATATATAATTAGTGACTTTATTTTGAAATGACAAAGAAGCACTCAGTGTGGATCGAATTCTCTACAGAAACTTTTGTCTGTATGATCAATTTGCTAACCTTTGCTCTGTTTGCTGTTGTTCAAAACATTAACTAAACATATAGACAGGTTCAGGGTCACACTAATGGATGGTACTAATCATCTGAGATAACTTAGATTTCTTAACAAAGACGCATGGCGCCATTTTCAGGGCACCCAGTTTGAATCTAATTCACCTTACTCCCATTAGTTAGAAATAACAGCATGGTGCTCACTATATAGTGCTATGCACTGTGTCACTTTAAGAAGTTGGCGATCATGGCACTACACAACTTCCAGTCATTTGTAACTCTTAGTAAAATTTGTATTTTTGCTCCCACTCCTAATCCCTGTTCTGCCAACCATTTATAAACTTGTTCCACTTGACTTCAATATGTCCTGAGAGTGTCAAATTTCCCAAGTCCTCTTTCCTCATTATGTGCTCAAGAAATTTCACCTGTCTCTTTCTGATTGTAAAAGCATCCCTTTTTGTCGCTATTGACTTTTCGAATCTGAATAATGTTTATTTGATTTATTTTTCTTCTATCACTATTAACTCGAAAAATTCATCATTGAATTTTAGAAAAATGTTTTTAAGTTAAAAAAATTCCTGTATGTTTATCTCTACATGAAGCCTGTTGTTGGATGCTCGTCATTTAAGCGAACAAGATAGGCTGACTAAGATCGATTCTGACCCTGGGTTAATTGTTTTGCTCTCGGTGAATATTATTTCTACGATAATGTGCCCGATTCTAACTAGTTGCATAATACATTTGACCTTGTACTAAACGAAGTAATAATTTCTGCTTGTTGGTTTAGGTGATTGTGACCTACGTAAGGTATGTCAAGTCACTTGATAATCGCTATTGGTACCATGTAAGACTGTACTACTTGCCAGATGGTTTTTTAGTTGGTAAATAAACTAGTTTCCTAACCAGGTGAGTGGGTGGCGAGACACCCAGTAGTATTAAAAACATGACCTGTCAAAGATGGGTGAGCGTTCAACAGCCATATATTACAGACTGGACTCCATAGCTATGTATGCAGTCAGTGCATGAATATCCCAGCATCGCTAGGTGGTTGGCTTTTTAGGCTGAAATCAACGACCAAAGCAGAGTTTCTCCAATTGTTTGAACAGCCACGTGTCTGCGACGAAGACGACTTTCAGTTCGGAAGACATGAGCTATGGTTTAACCGGAACAGGGATGGGCCCTGCCAGATCGACTTGCCAAAGACATGCTGCACAGGAATGAATAAGTATCCGGCTTTCAACCTAGATATGTGGCAGGAACTGGTCAGGTGCGCATATAACCAGTCATAGGACATGATGATGATGATGATGATGCCCTTCGTGCCAGTGCTTTGTGGATTGTCGCCAAGACTAATAAAAAGGCAAACATTTGGATGTACAGAAATGACCTCCTCACTTGAATATTTGGCGCAACACTATCTTTCTGCTCTCAATTTCACCGTTTGGCCTTCTATTAAGCTGAACTATTCAATTACATCAAGTCTAGATGTCCAGATCTCAAGCAAATTTGTTTAGGTTGGGTAACAACTGTGAGAAAGGAAGATGACATTCTTGAGCTGAGTGAATAGCAATGATCATTGTTTTAAAACTTTGAATTACATGAAAGATGTTGGCTTATTACGAACTTTGTTAGACTGACCAAAGCACGTACTGAAGAAAAGAGGCCTCGCGGAGTAATAATAAATAATCTACCGAACGATTTTTTTGTAAATGGATGGCAAAACAAGGTCTGGAAGGGAAAATAAGTGGAAAACATTGTTTAGAGATACAAAGGATTAGAAGTTGTAGAGAGCCGTAATCGCGCATATCCTAAAGTTACAGGGTCAAAGGAGACATTTTAACTACTTGCTTGGTGTATCTGTCTATATTTCTGAGATGAGATGTACATTATTTACATTATTCGGACTATTGTCCTCATCTTTGTCGCCATATTTATTACAACGTTTCGACCTTCTTCAGGTGGTTGGACATATGGCACAGTGGATAAAAGCGTTAGTTAGATCCAGTGACAGGACCCAAAGAGTGTGAGTTCAATAACCGGTTAAGGCAGTGGAGAACTTGTAGTGGGGAATTAATAGGAGATAACTGATAACTGACATCCATTAAAACATGGCACGTGAAACTAGAACAGTCTACCCCAGTCAGCGAAATAAAGGGTTCAGTTCGAAATTCCAACCACCTGAAGAAGGCCGGAGCGTACAACGGCCGAAACGTTGTAATAAATATGGCGGCAAAGATGAGGACAATAGTCCGAATAATGTAAATAGTGTTCTTGCTTGGAATAGTTTTATTTTATTTACGATTTTAGAAACAAATATTTCAATATGGATGAGGAGACAAGCTGGGAAAATCGTGAATCTAAAATGTTGGGTAAATGAAATATTCATAAATATGACATCAACATTGGTAAATACTGTTACTGACTAAACTCAACTTCGGCACAAGACTATTAGTAAACCTCAAACCATTACTTACTAGCTATTTTCATTTTCACTATATCACCTGCGAAATTCTAAGCAGTCTTAAAATACTAATCGTTAACATAGTTTTGGCACATGGGCACAGGTATGGGTCATCCAATGAAGATCGAAATCATTACTAATGATATGTGAGACTGGCTCGCCATTGACAATGCGCTCAATTCGTAATTGTTGTTAATTTTGTCATTAAGTATACTTCTATGATTTCATAAAGTTATAAAAGGAAAAGGAGATATTATATATTTTCAGGATCTTGTCTTCAGAATAGAAACACCTTTATTGGTTACTCAAGTCGCTTTGATTCACGAAGATCAACACCATTAAAAATAAGAATTTGTTAATTGAATTTTTGTTCATGATTTTTTTACGTTTAATTTTTACTGTACAATGTATAATCAATGAAGAGTGATGTCGGACGATTGTAAATCATTTCAACTGCCTATTAAGATTGGTTCTGGATCTTTGATTTTTATTGACAGCAATTTCAAAAAGAAAACCGTGTTTTGGAATTAAATGGAGCATAACGTGGTGTTCCCATTGTAAAGGGAGATAATGAAGTTAGACAACCTCGAGATTTCCTTCTAATTGGTTTTTCAGGTTTTGAAGGTACGAATAAATCAGATGGGTTATCGATTACCTAAAATCGAATCGGTGAAGAGATTTCGAATTTTGGCAAAGGCACTGCAGCAACCATTTTCTTCATGAATTTATGAACAGCATGAAATAATGAGATTTCATAAAAATACCAAATAGACAATGCATTGCGAGCTGGTTGACGAAGAAAATAGTGGGTGAGTGGCCACATAGTTCTCTGGTTAATTACCAGCTCCAGGCATTAAAAGCTGGTGACCTCGTCAAGATCTGATCAAAACATAGCATTGAACCAATTGAAAGTGATGACTGTCAAGAGTTGCTTTATTTGTTTGTTGGTTTGTTTGTGTGTGAATGTGTGTGTGAGTGAGTGTGTGTGAATGTGTGTGTGAGTGAGTGTGTGTTTGTGTGAATGTGTTTGTGTGTGTGTGAGTGAGTGTGTGTGTGTGAATGTGTGTGTGTGTGAATGTGTTTGTGCGTGTGAGTGTGTGTGTGCAGTATAGTATTCAGGATGAGAGTGTATCAACAAAAGATAGGCATCACTCAAATTTAGTTTCACTCATACAGTTTTTTGTAATGATCAGCTAAGAAAGAATTATTTTGTTTATAGCTTTTTACATTTGAAGCCTATATAAAACCAATTATATGTAAATGGTGGGAGTTATGTCAGTTCTAGTTTAGAAACAGGATTATTTAAGCAAATCATGAGACCTGCCATAAAATTAGATCAGTGTCAATCTATCCCATACTTTTCCGGTTATGTCATCCCTATTTCTTCAAAGTATTTGAGACAAGTCATTCGTTTTCACAATCTTTTTAGAATATTTATCAACCGTGTCTTTATTTCAAGATAATGTCGTCTCCAATTCTGGCAAAGATTATTTAACATTATTAAAAGCTGAAGTCATACAAAATAAATATAATGATCTTAGAATAAAAGAAAAAACGTCGTAAAAAAGAACTTTATCAATGAAGACTCTTTTTTTAAGAACAACTGGCAATACTGAAAGTTATGACAACTGATAGACAATTATAATCGTTAGAAGGAGTTTATTTTCTTTTTTGCGTTGATTAGGAAACTAACTTCTGGGTTATTTTTGTTCTCATTTTACATACAAAATTAGTTTCTACTTAACTGAAAACGAGGCATAAAATATACGAATATATGAGGCCAGGTTAAAAAATATATATATCAAAAACTGTTGTGCTTTTTTTTTGTATTTCTTTTTTGTTAGTGAAGCAAATACTTATTTAAATATTTATGATGTTTAAATAAGTAATTCACAATTAAATAATTAATCAGCAGTCAATGTTATTAATACAAATAATATTTAAAGAATGTTTCCAAAGAAATTCAAGATTCATTTGAAAATTAAATTCTTAATTATTGTATTTATTTTGGGAAAAAAAGAAGAAAATTGTCAGGTTACTGTCATGCCATAAATATTGAAATAGTAACGTTGTGGTGAACGAGCAGAATAACAAAACACACTCATATTGGCTATTTACCTGCCTTCGAAAATTTCTAACTGCCATTGACTTAACAGGGATCAATCATGTATAAGTGAAAATATTTACTGATCTTAGTTTAATCTGAAACAGAACAAAAGAGGTACCCGATGAGAATAGAAATCACTACACTAGAATTTGTTTAAAACATGTGCTTGCTATTTATGTCTGTAAAAAAATTGATACATGCATAAATAATAGCATTCATCCCCTCAC